TGGAGGGTTCTTTTAAACAGAGACCTCTGCAAAGCCCCTGCTTCCAGTGAGTTGAGGCTAATTGGACTGGACTCCCAGAATGGTTTGCTTAGGAAGAATATACCAGAGCTGCCCAGGAGGTGGTGCTCAGAAGTCAGGGAGGTCCTGAAAGGATGGAGAGTGGAGCCCTGGGGAAAGCTCCGGCCAAGGATTTCCTGCCTACAGCCTCATCATTCTTGCCTGGGAAAGGTCCTTCGTAACCCTGAGCTCTGGTGATTATGGAAGCTGAGACACCAAAGTCTCTGCTGCTTTCCTTGGGCTGGCCTTAAGTAAACCACTAACTTCTGCCTCCGCAGTTGTCAGTGGAACAGCATGCAGTACGATCTTAGATTTCCTAACACAAGGAGCCAATCTGCAGTTGAGCAAGCCGGCCCTGTTCCTCTGCAGAGCTAGGAGCACACCCCAGGAGATAGGGAGGGGGAAGCTTCCATCATGAGAAAGGTGTCAGGAAGGACTAACATGCTTTGGTGTAGCCGGCTCTAGGGAAGGCTGAACAGGGAAGTCTGGCTCTGAACTGGCTCTGAGTGAGAGTCATGCTAATCGACCTACTAGATCTCTGTGAGGAAGCAGAGCCCAGCAGGGCTGAGGCTGTGCTTGGGGCAGACACAGGGCTGCTCCTATCAGCCGTTTCTGTGTCTTAGACATGTCCATTTCCGTGTCACACACTGCAGCGTTGCCTTGCCCAGTGTCCATGTGCTGTGCAGTTACTCATGTGTGACTTTGAAAGGACCCTTGGTAGTTTGTGGTTTTGATTGTCATCAGTTCTTGGCATCTGTGCCTTAAACACAAGAGCATCTTTCGCAGCTCCTTTGACTTCAGTGTGCACTTTTCTTGGGTTCTGGGTGCATGCTGTCCTCAGACATAGGCCCCAATCTACGAACTATCTTGGAGGAGAAGGACCCAGAGCCAGCCTTCCCTGCTGCCCATCTGCCCCTCATCATGTAGAAATGGCTTTGAGGCAGCCAAAAGCTTGTGTGCTGACTTCTGCCTGGATCTGGGCCCTATGTGGTGCTGAGTAAGGTCTTCTGAGGGAATGGTCTGCTGTGTACCGATGTGGCTAAGAACAGCATCCAGGACAAGAAGCCTGAGGCAAGACCCGCAAGGACCCAATGAGGTTGCTATTCAGCTCTGACATTTAGTCACTGTCTTTGTTTTTGCTCATTTTAAAGACATTGACAAGCAGTGGGAACTGTAGAATGGTAGGCTAGAACTAAACCTGAAGCCTTTCCTACTCTTTATCCTCAGGTTGGAGTTTCAGTGGTGAGATGAGCTGCTTGGATGGTTTGTAATCATGTCTGTGAAGGAAATCCCACCCACATGCCTCTTGAGGGCTCATCCTCCAAGGGTCAGGGAGACTGAAATTCAGCTGGCCTAGAAGCCTTCCCTGGATATGGAAACTTCCCAGAGGCGATAATGGGTTGGCGGTAAGGCCCCTGCCTGGAAGCGGAGATTCAGGGGAAGGGAGCCAGTATGAAAGGCTCTGTGGTGCCCACCATTCTCATCACATAGAACCTGGAACACCGATATGAAAGTGCTTCTTCTGGAACGACAGCAGGAAGGAAGCCGCTTTCTGGTTATTGTAGCACCTGGGCTGAAGGGAACTGTACATTTATCTCTGTGCTCATGGCTGACAGGAAACCTGTTGAGAATGAGAACCAGTCACCTACCTATGTCACCAGGCTTGAGGAGACTGTGAGAATGAAACCACAGACTAAACAAATGAGGCCTGAGAGAGCAGCCTTTGAGAATTACGCCCTGGTAGAACCGTGGAGACCCTGTCCCTGTTGGAAACTGCTGAGCTGCCAGCATGTGGCGCCCCACAGTGACGGATGTCCATTCCTGCAGGCCTCCTTCACAAAGCATCCTAGAGCCGCACGTGCCCTCCACACTGGCTGTAAAGGTGACCTGGGCCATGGGGGTTCACACATGCCTGTCAGATGCCTCTGGCTTGCAGGGTCTGTGGTCTTGTCAGCACTGAATGTCTTCCCTCTATGCGTGAAGTTTCTGGCTTACTGAGTCAGTCACCTGCCCTTCAGACTGAACTTGCCAAAACAAATTGTCCTTTTTCAAACAGTCCCCACTTTTCTTTTTCTGCAGGTTGTCCCTCAGTTTGTAAACAAAGAGCTCTAGCCTGACATTCCCATTCTAGCCAGGCATGGCGAGGTCTCAACTGTAGCTCCAGGTCGGGATTCCTTGAGGCTGTCCTCACTCCTCCTGCTAAGTCCGTGCAGACTGCTCAGGTGATGAGCTCAGGTCCCTGCTTCCAGCTGTCTCACTGCCCTCTTCCCTGTACAGGCTGAGATTCTTTCCCCTGGTGCCCTAGGCACACTGCGACTCTCTGTCTGGGAACATTACATGGACATCGTCTCAGAGATTTTTTGTTTCGGGTTTCTGGGGTTCTATGGGCCTTCCCAGCCCTGGTACGGTGATTGTTCTTGATTCATTTCAAATGACAAAGGCTCCTAGCAGATTCCTGTGGGAAGTGGCACATTTCCTTGTTCAGACAGAGCTCCAGAGTCAGCTATGCAGGTGCAGTAACAGAAGGGCACAGGCTTTGACTGACCTGGGTTTGGGCCCTGGGTCCTGTCATAGACTTAGAATGCTGGTCGAAGCAGGGTCTGGCAGAGCCAAACACCGGACACGTGCCCTCTCTGTGCCCTAGCTACACACTCACCTATGTTTCATGAAGTCTTTGTGGCGAGCACCTCACGGGAACACGACATCAATCCTTCATGCAGGACCACACTTTGTGTCCGCACTGCCTTGTGCTTTGCTTGGTGTTAGTTTCCCTGAGCTATCTGTATTTAGCATTCCAGATAGAGATACAATGACACATCAAATGAATGAGTCTAGCCTGGTAAAGCAGTGTGTTTACTGGCATGACTTACATGGATAACTTTTGACGCCTGAATTACCAAAGAGCCCACCCCACCACTGGTGGCCACTTAGGAAAACTGTCAGTACATCATGCAGGCAGCTACACTACGGGAATCTTAGTCCAGCACTGTTTACATTACAGCCCACTGAAGTGGGCTTCTGCAGGCTCCTCAGTTCCTTGTGACTCCCACGAGCCTTGTGAGCCTTCAGCATCACTGTAGGAGTGAATGAAACACACACACACTGTCTGATAAGAAACCTACAGGATAAGCGTGTTTGTGTTTTGGATTGCAACGTGAGTGTTTCACAGAGTTTGTTTCATGAATGCTTTTTTACTGTCCTTTTTCTCTAGTCAAGCACATTGACCTAAAGGTTAAACAAAAACACCTCTGGCTTTGGCTGTTGGTTTCATATAATTTTCTCACATTCAAGGAAACTTCTTCTGCTGGTTTCACTGTATTTATCAAGTGATTAGCCTTGCCCTTGCACGGTGTTGGGGATAGAGAAATAAAATATCCATTCTGCCAGTCAAGAGTTACCAGCCCAGGGGCACTATGATTAAAATTATGAGAGAGGTAAACATTTGTCTTCAAAGTCATAGGTGGTCCTTGACTTGCTTTGGCAGAATGCTAAAATAAAAATAATAATAATAAACTGGTGTGCAAACTGGGGACAAAATTCAAATTCAGGCGCTAGCCACTGAACCATATCCCAGGCCTCGTTCTTGGAAGGTTCTAGAGCCCGACCTTCCTACTTCCCTGATGATGGATCTCAAGAAGAATGGAGTGTGAGTCAGTTAGTGGGGCCGCACTATTGCAACTGCCCAGAAGATGGAAACCTCCTCCCAGATAAGCAGCACAGCGTGACAGGAAGCGGCAGTTTGGGGAGGGATGGTGGTGTCCTCCATGCACTAGAGTTCAGAGAGGACTGAGCTGGCTGCTGTGTGAGTTTTCAGCATTGTGGTGCCAACTGTAGCTATTGGCTGGAGTTAGTAGGTGAGAAGAGTCCACACTCTGTTTAATGCTTGTATCAAACCCATGGATCTTTTTTTAAAATTGTGTGTGTGTGTGTGTGTGTGTGTCTGTGTGAGTGTGCACATGAGTAAACGTACTGAAGAAGTTCAAAAGTTCCAGGCAAGTGAGCTGGAAGTGAGCTGCCTAATTGTGGGTGCTGCGAAGCAAACTCAGGCCCTGTTCATGAGCAATGTGTGCCCTTAACTGCTGGACCATCCTTCTAGCTCCATCATTCTAAATGTTAAATCAATAGTTCTTTATATAACACAATGAATGATGATAGGAGTCTCCCTGAATGAGAAGGTCAGAAACAGAATGTTTTGGGGGTGACACTGGGACAGTTCATCATGTTTTTCAACTCCACAGAGGATTCTATCTCCATAATCAACTGTCTGTACCTCCCTTGACACTTTCCGGAGTTGCATTGTGTCTGATAACAATTTGAAAATGTTTTTTCATCTTGAATAATATTTCCTTATAACATAGGGCTTTTGTGATAATCAGGATTTCTGGCCTAACTACCTGCTATTTGACATGGTTAATGGCTTCAACCTCTGAGTCCATCAATTCTCTTCTATAGCTTTCCTTCAGCTGTGGCCGAGCCTGTATGTGTGTGCAACCATATCTTTTTAAAATGCTCTTTTGGAAGGAAAAGTTTAAAATAAATTTCTCTAGTTCTCAGGCAACCATATGTAATGAAGAAAGAAAAATATAAAAAGCAATAGATATTGATATAGTATGATTAATACTTTAGTATTAACTAAGTAGTAACTATTTTAAAATAAAACTTTGTGACAAAAATCATAGAGCAGAAATAGGCAGTCTTACAATATTCCTGCGAAATGACTGACATGGGTGAACACCCTCTCAGGGATGGTAATTGGATAGCACACAGCTGAGCTTTGTAACAGAGTCAGTTAACTGGAAACCAGAACAGCTTCTTGATACTATGGAGATGAAATTCTTCCGGGCCAGCTTCTGAGCATCACTGGTCTTAATTTTAACAAGGGAGAAATCCACACTGCAAGCAACTTATAATCTTGGCAGAATTCGTCTTGACTCTGATAGTGTTTACTCTAAAAGCTGTTTCCCTTCCAGAAGCCTCTTCCTCCGTGAATAGGGACTCATTGTGTCATCCATCACAAAATCATACAGCACTTTGAACCAGGAGCTGTGATGAGGGAGGTTATCGTAGTATTCAGCGGCTATTTTCCTCACCTGGAAGTGAAAAAACACAGCAAGTGTTACAGAGTCCTCAAGATGACGGTGAGTGTCTGACACAGACAGAGGGACAACATACAAAAGCAGCCAAAGGACAATGCCTTTGCTCAGGGTCCTTTAGACCCCTGCAGTTCTTCATGAATAAAGACGGCCTTCAGACCACATGCACATACACAGCTCTGTCATACTCTACCCTGGACTTATGACAAAGCCAGCAGCCTAACAGCTGGAACAGAAAGACACAAGTGTGTGTCTGAACTGCAGTGGTGATGGAAAAATACCCTCCCACCAGCCCCCATTCCTTGCCACCTGCAGTAGGTGGCAGAGCTGGCCCTGGGGTCATGAGAGCTGGAGAGTTAGTCCTGTTCTTCACTGGCTGCAGCACTAGGGAGAGAGGGCTCTACACTTCACCTGGGCAGCATAATAGAGCTGACCATGATGGCATGGGTACAAGTGATCATGGGAGAGCTGTCCCTACCACTTGTCTATTGTGGAATGGCCTAGGCAAGGGAGAGATGTCCCCCGAGCCACCTATGGCAGGCAAGAGAGCTGGCACCAAGGTCATGAGAGCAGGAGAGCTGTCCCTGTCCCTCACAAGCTGCAGGCCCTGCACTTTGCCTAGGCAGTGCAGTAGAGCTTTCTCCGTTGGTGTGGGCACAGGTGAGCTGATTCCAAGCGCACGAGGGCAGGAGAGCTGGCCCTGTTCCTTGGCAACTGCAGCATCAGGTGACCTCACCATGACAGTGCTGGAAAGCTCACACTGGTGATGTGGGAGCAGGAGAGCTTGTGGGCTGACCACCTCAGCTACCACCCAGGCCCAGATCCAGGGCTTCGAGTCGGCCCACCTTCAAATCCACCCCATCTGTGACCTGGTGGAGCACGAGGAGGGGCAGACCGTACAGATCCAAACCTGCAAGATCTCCATGACACAGGGCAGCAGCAGGATAGCCAAGAGGATCTCTGGGGATGACCCAGTACTGATAGGATAGCAGAAGGCCTTGGAAGAGACTAAGCACTCATCACAATGAGCATTTTCAAAACACTCGAGTGTGGACAAAAGGTCCAACAATGTGGGACACACTGTGACACACTACTGCTCCCACAGCCAGATTTTTTTTCATTAGATGGAGGCTGTTGCAAGGGCAGGGGTTGGGTACAAGGGATGGGAACATGCGTGGGACTGGGGTGCATGATGGGAAATTCCCAAGGAATCAATAAAATGTGGAAGGAAGGAAGGAAGGAAAGAAGGAAGGAAGGAAGGAAGGAAGAAAGGAAGGAAGGAAGGAAGGAAGGAAGGAAGGAAGGAAGGAAGGAAGGAAAGAAGAAAGACACTAGTTTTCTAAAGCTGTAAAACGACTGAGCCAGTCAGAGATTGGATAAACATTTAAGACATTCATTAAGACTGCATGTGTATTAGCCACCAGGGTACTGCAAAGAATGATAAATTATAAACATTTAAGGGTCATAAGGTAAAAATGAATAAATTCTCCACATTATGTACGGTTTATAAATCCTAGAGAATCTATTAGCCATGTGTCCAGTACAATTCAGCTGCTGACAGAATCCCTGGGTACTTTATAGAGTTGTAAGTAAGTGGAAAATGCATGCTTAAAGTTAGGCTAGGAGATCACTGAGTAGTTAAAAGCACTTGCTGGCAGTCCTGAAGATCTGAATCCAATCCCCAGAATCCACATGGTGAAAGGAGAGAACCACCTCCAGCAAACTGTCCTTCGACTTCTGCACACACACCAATGTAACACACACGAAGAAAAAAGTAAGAATTTTAAGAGTTTCATGAACAGCAAATCTCACTAAAACTAGGCTTTTAAAAAATTTAAAGGTTGGGATTTAAGAACATCTTTGTAATGGAAATGTTCTGTAATTGATTACTAGGCTGGCTGCATAGCTCTGTGAATATTCTGAGACCTACTTCAAGCGGCTACTTTTTTTTTTTTTTTTTTTTGTGTATGAGTTATAGACCCCCACCTTATCCACACACAACATGTGCTTTGACACATGTACTTTGGTTTTCTTTGAGACAGGGTTTCTCTGTGTAGACCCAGCTGTGGGAATTAGCTCTGTAGACCAGGCTGCCCTCAAACTGGGAGATCTACCTCCCTCTGCCTCCCAAGTGCTGGATTGGAGGTGTGTGCCTTCGGAGCCGGCATTGTCTCTGAGTCACATTTTAACATAGCTGTTAAAAGCCGTAAGACTTGGAGATGTAGTCCAGTGATAACATGATTTAGTAGCATGCATTTGGACATACTTTTATCTCTAGTACCACAAACAAGCTAACGAACAAGCAAAAGGCCCATTTTACTATTGTATCATTTCATAGGTACACTTGTAACTGCTATAATTAACTGTGTAACAAGTACCAGGAAATTATTAAGACACAAAGCATGAAGTTCCTAGATCTAACTCACAGAAAGATCAGGGAAAGGTAGACTAGTGTAATCTGGGGATGTTTGTAAGATTAGGTCAGTAAAAGAAGGAGGGGCATGAACAGTCAGGGGTACCATGGGCCTTAAATCAGGATGTATGAATGGAACTAAGTTTTCAGTATCGGGATGGCTACGGAAAATTACACATATCTTTCTATGTGGCTTATGTTGGAGAAATCCGTTCATTAAAAATATTACTGACTTCGTCTGTAAGGCAGACCCACTTAAAAGTAGTATAAATTCGAGGCTAGAGAGATAGCTCAGCAATTAAGAGCACCTTCCATTCTCGTAGAGGACCTGAGTTCAGTTCCCAGCACCCACATGGCAGCTTACAGCTGTCTGTAACTCCAGTTCCAAGGTATATGACACCCTCTTCTGGGTTTTCTTGAGCACCAAATATGAACGTGTCTCACATACATACATATAGGCACTCACATATGCTCGTAAAAAAAAAATCGTTAAATAAAAATTCATTTCCCCAGTCACAGCACAGGTCAACAAAAGCTACACCAGAGATTCAGGGCATCGTGACATGAAGGCATTGGGGGCTAGTGTCACACTACACAAGCTCGAGGCTCTGTTCACACAGGTACTTGCCTGTGCATTTTCCTTAAACAGTTTATTCTGAAAAATGTAAATTCCATCAAACAGGTGAAAGAATCATCAAGTAGCTGTCATCCAGCCTTCACCAGTTTGAAGGTGTGACCCAGGTTCCTTGACAGTCAGCTGTAGCACAATTACCCTCTGCAGTGTTCTGATAAACAAACCCTCGCTCTTTGTCCTCCTTGCTGAACCTATTGAAATTAAGTTGCAGACGTTATGTGTGACTTCCAGAAAATTTAACATTGTTTTTTCATCCCTCTGTGAGCCAACATGTGTTTCCAAATGGTGCCACTCCATAAACCACTGGAGTGCAGTATTCTACACTGCATTATACAAGTCTGTGCAAGGAGAAAAATTGTAGTCCAGTCCTGGAACTTGATACAGGATTGCAAACTAAGGCCTACCCATTTTTCAGAACACTTATGCAGGATTTCATTGTTCTCATGGACAAATCAAATTGTTCCATGTAATCGTGTGCTGAACTGTCGCAAAGTAGAAATAGCATTCATAAGCCAGTCCACCATCCGAGCAAAGCCCATCGGTTTTACAGTTTCAGAAGTTCCTCCACCGGAGACATTGCTCATTCTGAGTTTGTGGTGTTTGAAGGACTAGGAGGTGAGGCCTTGTTGGAGAAGGAGTGCAGTTGGGATTGGGATTTGAGATTTCAATAGCACATACCATGTCCAGTCTCATTCAGCACCATACCTGCCTGCCTGCCACCATGCTCCTGGGTTACTCATAGGGTTACTATGACACTGTAGGGAAGCCTCCAGGTAAGTGCTTTCTGTTCTATGTCATCTTGGTCATGGTGCCTTTCCACAGCCATAGAACTGTAGTTAACACAGACTTATTTTATTGCACACCAGGGTTTAAATATCTGCCTGTGTTCCTGACCCCTAAAAATAACCACTGAGCTTAAATATCTGAAAGACTGTACCCTTCATCAAAGTAGCCTGTCAGATACTAGATGTATATAATGCTTTGATTTTCATTTTTTTTAAAAAGATTTATTTTATGTATATGAACACTGTTTTCATGCACAGCAGAAGAGGGAATCAGATTCTATTACAGATGGCTGAAAGCCACCATGTGGTTGCTGGGAATTGAACTCAGGTCCTTTGGAAGAACAGCTAGTGCTCTTAACTGCTGAGCCATCTCTCCAGCCCCTTTGATTTTCATTTTATTGAGGAGTTTTGGTTAATGAAATGTACTAGCTTCCATTAAAAATGAACAAGTGAAGACTAATTTGGATTATACAGCTATTAGAGAAAATATTTACCAAATCCTTTACTTACCAGGGGCAGGTTTTTTCCAGGAACGTTGGGGAAGTCATGGTGCTCATTATGATAGCCCACATTGAAGGTGAGTAAGTTCAGAGATCCATAATATGAGTATGTCTCATGTCCCTTTAAGAACATGTAATGTTCTGCTATAAAATGTCCAGAAATTGGGTGCAAACCAAGGCCAAGCAGAAAGGCTGCCAGCATGTAGACTAAAGATTTAATTCCGAAAACATAGTAAACTATAATGTCAAAAGTGATCTGAACCACAACATTAATGATTTCCAGATAAGAAATTTGTTTTCGGTTGATAAATAGAAGTCGAAAAATAACAAAAAGGGGCTGAAAAGTAATCCAGACAAGCTTCCTGAAGGTGGTGCAGAAGAACAAGCCCTCAACATCATGAGGAACACCCACGTCCATGCCGTCAGTTCCGAGGAATCGATGGTGATCCATGTGGTATTTCTTAAAGGAAATCGAATATGGAACCCCGAGAGGGAGGTTAGCAAATATTCCAAACCAGCGGTTCCACAGTGCCTTGTGGTGGCCAAGGGGGAAATTGTGAGAAATCTCATGAGAAGCTATAGCTAGTGAGTGGTTAATAGAACCACCAAAGACATAGGCACAAAATAGGACCCATTTCCATCCCAAGTTCTTGACTAAATAAAATGCAAGCAACTGCGCAAGAACCATCATGGTTATAATCCAGATCAGGTTGGGGTCGGGTTTCATCAAGGATTTTATCTCTGGATACTTTGCTGCAAGAAAAGAAAACACAACAAGACTCACAAGTGAAGAATAGCGTAATTATAACTCTAATCAAGCATATTTAAGTGAGCACAGTGAAGAAATTATAGCTATGGGAGCTGAGGGGACAGCTCAGGGGTTAGAACACTCTCTGTGGAGGCATGAGGTCCTGAGTTAAGTTTGCTGTATGGAGGCCACAAACAATCTGACCATGCCTGCGACGCTAACACTGAGCTAGGCTCCAAACAGGAGGGTCCCTGGGCCTTGCTGGTCACCAGTCTAGCGCCAGCTTCAGTGAGAGACCCCGTCTCAGCAAGACAAGGCGGACAGTGATAGGGCGGCACACTCAATGGCCTCCTCGGGCCTCTGTGCACGCAGGTGCTGTGAACCCCCCACACAGGTGCACACACACCATACACAGAGACCACACACACACCATACACAGAGACCACGCACACACCATACACAGAGACCACACACATAGACCACACACACACACCATACACAGAGACCACACACACACCATACACAGAGACCACGCACACACCATACACAGAGACCACACACACACCATACACAGAGACCACACACATAGACCACACACACACCATACACATAGACCACACACATAGACCACACACACAGACCACACACACACCATACACAGAGACCATACACAGAGACCATACACAGAGACCACACACACACCATACACAGAGACCATACACAGAGACCATACACAGAGACCACGCACACAGAGACCATGCACACATAGACTACCCCCCACAGGTACACATTTACCCACACAAATACCATGAACACACAGACCACTGTCCCCACCGGTACACACACACTGTATACATAGACCATGCACACATAGAACACACACACACAGGGGCACATATTCCATGCACACATACACACACACACACACATACACACACACACGCACGCACGCACACACACGCACATACACACACACACAGGAGCACGTATACCATGCACACATAGACCTCCACCTTCTGTGGCCCAAATTGACTTCTCCACGAGATGGAACGAAGAAAAGAGACAACCCATTCCATGTGTGGTGGAGATGCTGGCAACAGGGAAGACCAGACAGATAGCCCTAGGAGAAGGATGGAGGTTGACATCTGTGCTATGTCTGTAAGCGGGTCAGTTAAATAAACAGTGATATTTGATGGGGGGGAACCACAGAGAAGGGGCGTTCAGAGAGACAGACAGACAAAAAGAGAGACAGAGGTGGCAAGAGGGAGGAAAGAGAGAAAGCAGTGACTGGCACCCTCGCCTTCTTCCTGGACGTGGAGCAAATGCTTCCAGGTCCTTCCTTATTCAGTATGATGTTGGCTGAGGCCTCACATGGGCTGCACAATCACTCGACCATCCAGCTACATCTCCAGCCCCGTTCTCACAAGTTCTTAGCCAAGCATTTTATTAACAATAGTTTCTATTCCTAAGAAGCTATTTTGTTCTTTCTCTGGCATCAAGTTACCTTGTTTTACATAATTTTTCTGCATTTATTTTGAGATTTTTTTTTTTGGGGGGGGTGTCTGGTAGGTCAGACACCTCTGCCAATTTTATGACATGGACTTCTTAGAACGTGAGTGGTTTTCTCTTGAAGATGTGCCTTGAAGCGTGAGTCTGTGGCAAATGTTGACTTTACTTCCATCATAGTCTCCCTATACCTACACCATCCGTGACTGTGAGTGACAACTTTGGCACAATGCATACCATGGCAGATCAGTGAGAGCCGCTGTCCTCTAGAGTGTTATGACAGTGGGGACATGGTAATGGTTCAGGCAGTGTGTCATAGACAGCAGGAGGTATTAGGTCCTCACAGTGTAGGTTCTCCTATAGTGCAACTGGTGGTCCGTGTAGGGCAGTGGGCCCTGTTGGGGCTAGCTCAGCCCCAGCAGTTATGACGTGCTGAAGCCCTTGTCCTCTGACCTCTCAGAGGTGTGGGTTCAAAGAGGCGGCCGTGGGCAGCCCAGCACCCCCTGTTTGGCCCTCACACCCCTCAGCTGAAGTGCATCCCTGGAGTAGAAGCCCATCTGCATGGAGCTGGGTGGAGCTTCTCTCCACCTCCTTTGTCCATGTACACCCACAGGGGGTTGTCTGTAAACGTGGACTGCGTTTTTAACACTAACTCTAAATGCAGATGTAAAGTGTGTGCGTGCCAGCCGTTAAAACAGCATCTGTGACCTCTTCTGTTTCCTCCTATAAAGAAACCGAACAGAAGTTTCACAACTGTGCCATCATGTCAATGCAATTCCAGCAAACATCCTGACTTTCTCACCAAAGGCCGTCTCGCTCTGCTTCCAGAAAGGGAGATGCCTTTTTTAACAGTGGTAACGTTATCATTGAGAAGCGTAAGTCCTTTCCGCTTTTCAGGTGTGACAATTCAGTGCTAGGCTTGTGGGGAAAGGCACCCTTTGGGACAAGCATCGGTTACAACTTCTTGTTTAACTTTCTGACTATCGAAGAAAGGCTGGATTCCGGGGTTTGAGAGTCAGTGTTCATATGAGCAGATATTATTACATTATCATTATGCAATGTCGATAAGTAGAGACCAGACTGCCACTCGCCACTTCATGTCAGGTATGACTAAGTGACGTGCAATGTGAGAGAGAACCTGCCGGAAGCAAGTTTTCCCACCCTATAGGGCTCCTTGAACTCTGTGTATAACAAACTAGCCTAGAACTCACAAAGAACCACCTGGCTGTGCTTCCTGGGTCCTGGGATTAAAGGTGGTTGCCATCATACCTGACTAACCCAAAGCCTTTTAAAGGGCTTCCCTTAATAAGCAACTTAAAGTTCCTGTCGCCTCAGTGATTCAGTTGCTAAAACTGATTTCAGTGACACTAAGTCACTCATGAAATAAAGAATTTCTAACTTAAGATACTCTTAAAAATTGGGGTCTTGTCTTTTCTTTGGACAAATAGGTGCCAGGAGAAAGGGAACTGCTTTGTACAGGAGAGAGCTCCAGGGGCCGGCTGTGGCACAGCACAGAGATGCTGTGTGGGCCCCAGGTTTTGTCCCCAGCCCTGGAGGGGGCTCCATTCAGTCCCCTCCCGCTAGCTTCACTGGTTTTAAACAGACAGAACCGGTTAAGAGCATATTCTCTGCAGCCAGGCTGACCCAGATTAGAACCTGCTCCTAGCGTCTATCTCCTTCATGCTCTCTGCATCTTTTAAAAGGCAGAAAAGTCAAGAGCCTGGAATGAGGATAAGTCAGGCAATGTTGCAAAGCCGCCAACTCAAAACCTGGCAGGTGGTGAAGAGCAGGCTGGGAGAAACGAGAGAATTCTCCGTGAAACACGGAAGCACCCAGTATCAAGGCCTGGTTAGTCCGGTTTAAAAACCCTAAACAAACTGTCAGGAGACCATCAGACCAAGCCAGGAATCTTTCCTGTTTGGCTAGCCTTCGATATTTTAGTCTCTTTAATCACAAACCCCAAAGAAATAATAAATTTTTAAAAAAATGTCTTCAATTCTGTCACAAGGGCAGGTGTGTGCACACCAGGGCCTGTCTCGGCATCATACTGTAGGGTGCTGGTCCCACGTGAGTGGCTGTGGGGCGCCTCAGTTTCACGCCGTGTGCATCATTTGCCTTCTGCCTGGCTTTGCCCTTCTCCTAGGGGCATTTGAGGAGGAACTGAATCACAAACCATCCATGGGCTCAGGAATCTCTGAGCTGGAGGATCGTGTGAGAGAGAGAGCCTTGCCAAAGAGACCCTTGCCCTAAGGCCAACAGAAAAGAAAGGCCAGTGCAATACCTCATCCTGAGTCCCCGCACTGTGTGCTCTGAGCCTCCTGAGGGCTTCCTGCCTGGGCGCTCCCAACCAAGCCTTGGGGATGAGAATGGGGGATGGGAATAGGAAGGCGGCAGTGCCTGGCCTTAGGCATCCCTGACCTGTCCGCACCGGTGTAGAATCTCACCCAAGATCTCCCGACGTCGATTCCTGTGCAGCTGATCAGCGTAGCCCCACTCAGAATCTTCCCGTGAACCGTGTTTCCCCATGGCTGTGTGCAGACCTGCCCTACTGCTCCAGGTGCAACCCTGTGAAGGTGATGGCGTTGGTGGCACCTTTGGCCTGGGTCTGTAGTCGCCTGCACAGGCGGAGGAAACACCCAGGAGGGCGGCGCTATCCCCACCCCAGCCTCCAGCCTGATCAGGCCCGGCAAGCACCGAGCTGACTCCGCGCTCTGTGCCTCTGGGGTCTGAGGGTTGGATGCTCCTTCTTGCAGTCTGTGGGTGCCTCTGCCCCGCCCTGGCAGGGCTATAAAGGAAAGATCTCTAAAAACTTGGAGCTCACAGCCTTGGGGGTGGAGACAGTGTATGGGAGAGCCGATGCTAAGAATTTACAGGAAAACAACAGCATTTGGTGCTCGGCAGCTAAGAGGAGGCTGACGACAGCTAGCCGAACCACGGACCATGAAGTCAGCGTGTTGGCAGCAAGCAAAAGAAACTTACTCTAAGCACCATCGTTTCACTTTCAAACTCCATTTAATCATTAGAGAGAAACTAAATCCGAGGTCCCAAGCCCTAGGGAGCTGGGACTTCACAAGAGTGAGTTCCAGGACATCTAGAATGACACAGAGAAACCCTGTCTTGAAAAACAAAAAAGTAGGAGGTGAGGAGTAAGTCAGTGGTTGTCTAAGTCCAGGTTTGGCCTACGGATCAGCCATGATCATGTGGCCTTTTGAGAGATGAAAATATTCTGTGTCCTGGTTCTGTATCTGTTCATCATGAAGGAACAGTATAATAAAGAAGGGAATCATTTCACCATCCAAGCACTGGCCCCAGCTCCACAGTGGGCACCACTACAATGAGCAAACATGTGCTGGAAAGATGGGAAAGATGGAGTAAGCCGTGGAGAGATGGGAAAGGAGAGCTGAGTGGTTGACACCCTGTGGAGAGAGGTGGAATGGGAGACAGGGCAGTGGTGAGGGAAGGTCGGATCTAAGGAGCCTATGCAACCCCCTGAGGGTTTGGTGACGTCCAGGCTAGGCTGCTACCAAGGACCATGCTTGGGTCCACGGCCCTTCTGCAGCTGGGGTCTGTGCTGATATCTGTGACCCATGCTGCCACCAAAGGCCATACAGATGTTAGTAGTCCAGGCTGCTGCCTGCAATCATGATGATGTCCAATGGCTGTGCTGACATTGGGGGCCAAACTGATCTGAGTGGCCTGTGCAGCCACCTCTCCCAGCCTGCCACTGAGGGCCCTGTCTGGGTCCACAGTCCTGCCACAGCCAGGGTCTGTGCTGATGTCCAAGGTCCATGCTACCACCAAAGGCCACTTTGGATGTCCCTTGTCTAGGCAGCTAGCTGAGGCCATTTTTATGTCTAAGCACTGTGCTAAGCTGGCCCTGCCCCTAACCAACCACTATACTCTGGGGGAGTTGGCCCTGTTCCTCCCCTGGACAGAATGAGAGATCTGAGTCTGGTGACACGGTGCAGAAAAGCTGGCCCCAGTGGCGTGAGTGCAAGTGAGCTAGCTGGCCTTGTTAGCTGCAGCACTCAGGAGAACAGGCCTGCGCCTCACCTGGACAGCACAGCAGAGCTGGCCCTCGTGCTGTGGGAGCAGGAGAGCTGGTGGGCTGACCCAGGGCTCTGGATCGGCTCACCCAACGATTACTCCATCTACGAACTGCTGGAGCACACGAAGGGTCTGGTCCTGCAGATTCAAAGCTGCAGGATCTCCATGACATAGGATTATCTGAGAGGAATCCTGGTGAGGATCCAGTATTGATAGTGTGACAGAAGCCAGAGACTTCGCCCCAGACCAATGACTCGCTGCAATGAACATTTGCAAGTAGAGCTGTTTGGGCAAAAGTGTACTGTGTGGCACACTGTGACACACCTCAGCTTCTACAGCAGTTTTTGTTTAGTTTTGTATTTTAATTTTTTGTGGGTTTTTTTTTTTTTGTGGGGGGAGGTTACAAGGGCAGAGAGAGGATATAACAGGGAAATGAGTAACATTGGGGTATGTGATGGGAAATTCACAAAGAATCAATAAGTTAAAAAAAAGGTGGGTAGCATTTCACTCCTCAATATGCTCCTCAGTAGTAGTCATAAGCTGCTCATGGCACATCAGTCTTTAGGGCCCTTAGCCCTTTGTTTTTTTCTGCTTCTCTTCTCTATCATCACTGGTACTTAAATGCCAAGGACCAGTTGTACCAAGTACATGCTCAGCTCCTCATCTGAGTTTTTAAACCTGGCTTCAAGAGATTGAACTTGGGTCTTCATGCTTACACAGAAAGAACTATACCATCTTCCCAGGATGTTAGGGGAAAAAAATCAAGATGCCCCCTGGCAATGGGCAAAAAGACACATTGTTGGTGGTGGAGTTCTTACATCAGTTGGGGACAGAGCAGATGGCAGTCCTGTGTTCATCCTAGTTTAATTCCCAGCTTGGTGGCCGAAGCTGTCTTATGCCTAGGACTCATAAAAGTCAAAGCAAAGCCAGGCAGTGTCACATGGGAGAAGGAAGGCAGACAGAGACCTGCAGACTGCCGTGCCACCCACAGACCTACCCTCTAGTGCACAGCACAGGCAGGTCACAGACACCCATTTGCTGCCACACCACACAGCACAGATGGAGGATGTCACCCAGGGACCCCCCAGCCACGTACCCAGCCTGCAGTGGGAGCCACCACAATGGTCAGATGGGAAAGAGAAGTGGAGCAGCTTGAGCATAATGAAGAGAGATGGAACTGGAGAGTGAAGGGTGGAGAAGAGTGGCCTGTTGTGTGAGTGGCCAGTCTTGCCACCTGGGGCTATGGCGAAGTTGAAACCCAAAGCTGTCACTGAGGGTCATGTCTGAATCCATGTGTATGCAGTGGCCATGTCAATATCCATGGCTCATATTACCACTAAAGAACATGGGGATATCCCTGGTCAAGGTAGCCACCAGGGGCAGTGTGGATGTCCAGGGGATGTTCTCTGGAGAGCTGGCTCCATCTTTCTCCCCTGGCAGCACTTGGGAGAGCAGGCCCTGTCCCTCACCTGAACAGCACAGCAGAGCTGACTCTGATGATGGGAGGTGAGCAAGCCCCAAGGGTGAGAGATGGGGAGAGCTAGCCCTGCCACTCCCTGCCTTGAGGTGACCTGGATGCTCTCTGCTCCCTCATCCCTCACTATCTGAGGCAGTCAGGATTGCTGACCCCTGGGATCATGGGAATGGGTGAACCTGCCTTGCCTCCCTCTGTCTGTAGCATTTGGAAAAATGGGTCTGGCACCTCGCCTGGGCAACACAGTGGGTCTGGCAAAGGCATGGATGAGCCAGCCACAAGGGTGCGAGAGCAGGAGAGCTGCCCCATCCCTTCACAGGCTGTAGCACTTGGGAGTGTTCTCTCTCCCCACCCGCTGATGCCTCACAGAGCAGCACAGTGAAGCTGGCTCTGAAGATGTGGGTGTGGGTGAGAGAGCTGGCCTTGCCTCCTACAGATGGTTGCAATGGGTGCCTAGCAGGAACAATGCTGGAGAGCTTGTCCTGGTGGTGCTGATAAGGAAGATAAGCAGATAAGTTCAGCTGCCACCCAGGCCAAGATTCATTGCTCTGAGTTGACCCACGTCCAAATCTGTATCATCTGTGAATGGTTGGGACAAGCGAAGGGTCCAGTCCTTTTGATTCAGGGCTGCAAGATCTCCATGACACAGGGCAGCAACAGTATGACCTGGAGGAGTCCTTGTTGTGGATATAAACATGTTTTTGTTTTAATCCCAGGTGTGGGATGTGGGACTGATTCAGATGGTCCACAGCAGCAAACTATTTGCCTTGTGCAGGCTCTGAGAGGAGCTCTTTGCCAGCTGCAGATAGTTTAAATCTGAGGACTCTGGAGAGAGAATAAATGTCAGAACCAGAGAGTGTAGAGAGCTGTGAGAATGAACAAGGCTGCTCCTGCTTTTCCCCCACCTTCCCCGTGGCTCCCATTGCTGTTGCTGCAGACAGATAAGAAATTGGAGATCTCCTGAAACAAGGATTGGACTGGCTCCAAGGAACCCAACGACCCTAACCAGCAGCATGCAGCTAAGAGAACTGTGCCCTCTTTCCCACTAACCCTTTCTCTCTCCTACCTGGTGTTGGGGTGTTGGAAGGGATTGGGGTGGCATAGGGAGAAAGAGATATAAGAAATGTAAATAAGAGTTTTTAAAAAGTAGGCCAACAAGTCCTGGTGAGGCTACCATATTGATGGTGTCACAGAAGCCAGAGGTCTCAGGCCAGACCAATGACTCATTGCAATGAACATTTGCAAGTGAAGATGTGTGGACAGAGGGATATAAGATGGGACACACTGTGACATACTACAGCTTCCATGATGAGATGGTTTTTATTGTTGTTGTTAATTTAGTTGTGTGTTTTATTGTGGGGTGAGGAAGGTTGCAAGGGTGAAGGGCATAGATGAGGGACAGGGAGATGAGCAGGACTAGGGTACGTGGTGTGAAACTCACAAGGAATCAATAAAGTGTTTTCAAAAATCAAAACACTTTAATAATATGTTGGTAGAAGCATAGGTAGGCAGCAGAATGGCAAGATCTCTGTTGTAGGCTTCAGAAGTTATCTGAACACATTCTTAGCCATCAGGTTGGTGGAAGTTAATGTGCGTGCACCTCCCACAAGCACTTAGCTAAATAGTCATGATGATAGACAGTAGATTAAACACAGACAGTAGATTCAACAGCTACCCCAGATAACTTAGTTCTGAATCTGCAACATTCCGTCTCCTCAGAAATTCTGACCAGTCAATCAGCCTTGTAGAATCTTTAGCATAGGAGTAACTCTCATGCCCTTACCGCCACCTTGGGAACTTCAGTTCATGTCACCAATGACATCCTTCAACCCTGGATCTGTTAACAGCAGCAGGGTTCCCTGCACCTTTAGATTTGCAATTCCTTGGTGATCTTAAGTGTGGAAGTTTTCTCTTTTCTTTTTTCTTTTTAACTAATTTATGGACCTTGTGTTCATTTGTGTTTTGCCTGCCTGTATGTTCTAGACCAGAAGTGTGTCTGGTGTGC